GTCGCAGTGGATGGTTAAGTTCGTGTTGTAGCTGAAAGCGTTCCTGTTGTTGTTTTCGTCTTCTTTCGATCGCAGCTCGTTTTTGTTCCTGTTCAAGACGCTGCTCTTCCTTTGCAAGTAGTTTTTGAAGCTGGATATTTCCTGGTGATTCCACCGTGCTCGGGGCAGGGGTGGGGTCAGCTTCTTTTTGTCGAGCCGCCGATATCCACTTTCGAAGACCCCTAGGGAAAGAATTGACATCTCAGTCACTGAGACGAGGTTCCCGAAAAAACGTGCTCCTAAAAAATTTGCTCTACTGTCTCTTTCATCCAGAAACAAGACTCGAGGGATAATGCCGCAGCAATCAACCACACTACGGCAAGATGCAATTGCAATAGAGTGACACTGATTACCTTATTTTACATCTCTACATACTGTTTCACTTATCGATTGCATGTATAATACTTTAAAGTAAAATAAAAAAATGTTGTAATTCCAATGACGAAGCGCGCGAAGTCTAAAAATAGAATGCAAATTATTGGAACCCCGCGAGAGTCAGACAACGTAAGCGTGTTCTAGGAGAAATAAGAGGAAAATGAACGCCTAATTTTCGTTTTAAAAATTGTTTTAGGAACACTTGCTTACGCACTTGAAAAAGCGTCAAATCTTCCACCATTCCGTTTTGTTTGTCTGAGTTTGTCTGAGCATAGTTAGTAGTACTACTAACTATGGTCTGAGTTTGTCTGAGTTATGACGTCACTCGCGCGCTTCGCCATTAAAAGCGACTTCCTGAAGATTGCAAAAATTCATATCCAGCAAGAAAAGCCAGTCTTTCAGTTTTACAACGGGAAATATTAGTTCCCCGCGCAAAATGGAGGAAATCGCCGATCCGAAAAAAATTAAAAACTTCCGCAAAAATCTCGTGCCACACGGTAGCTTCCAAAGCAAACATGAGGGTTAATGTCTTTGATACACTTCTAAATTCCCAGAACTACTACTGAAAGTAACATGTCGCAATCAGTAATGAGAACTAAGTTTTAACTTCGTTTCTTACTTTACAAAAGGCATGACCATGAAGAACGCATTTGGGTTAAGTCCCAGTTTCTCGCGGCTCACTGTATCTTTCTTGTGGGATGGAAGATCGTTAACATAAAACCACTCTATGTTCTGTGGATCAAACAAACAAATTCAAAACTCTGTTCCTCCCTGGTTGAGATACGTTCACAGATGTATGATCTATACGGTTTAGAAAAGTGTCACATACGTATATGATGGTTAAAGACTTAGCCAAGAGGTGAGAAGAAACATCTTTGAACATTTTACAAGAGTGTCAACGCACCCTCTTTTACTTCCTGAAAACTGTAGTGAGCTACATTAACAAGATCTCTGCTAGGATCCTTCATGATAGTGTAATATTTGATGGCATCTTTCAAAAATCATACAAGTAAATGGTTAGTGGGTAGACTATAAGAAGTTGGGTTTTGTTCCTGAAATCCCCCGCGCGCGTTACCTTGGTTAATATTAGGGAAATTAAGGGAAGAAACAAGGAGGGAATAGGAAGAGGCAGGAAAAACCCTTCTCTCTTTTGCCTTTTTCTCCATGCCTACGCATCTCGCAACTCGTGGCTCACAGCTAGACCACTCTTGCATGATCACACGCTAGAAACTGAACTTCTCGCATGCTGGGAAAAGAAAGAGGCTTCTTGCAGTCTAGTTACTGGATGAAGAGAAAGTCTAGTTGGAAGACATAAACATTATTTCATTGCATCAAACCACGATGCGGAACATGCAATGTAATGGCATCAGGACTTAGAGAGACATTGTTCACTGTAGCAGAGTTACATGTTAGCATTTGGTGACATCATTTAAATATTTTAATCCCATGAAGGAAATATAAGCCTAGGATATTTTCACTTTTTAAAATTAAATATTTCTGTAACTACCATTACTATTGGTTAGTTCAGTATGGAACACTTAAAAGAAATATGCATCACACTTTGACAGACTTGACATTTTATTACTCTCATGGCAATATTGATCATTGTCATTAATTTTACCTTAATTTCTCCTCTAGTTTGTGGTTGGAACACTGTCTTTTCAGGTACACCAGGGACAATGTACAGCCTTACCTGTCAAAACAGAGAGAAATTCATAAAATAAAGGCTATACATGTATC